TTACCAATGACAATCCTGATGGTATCCTATATGCGTTCGTAAGCTTGCTAAAATACTACTGCGTTGATGTCCGCTTGTAAAAGCTGAAATCCAACAAATGCTTTGATCCATGCTACATCTCCGTGTTGGAAAAGCCCTTTCATCTCCGTTCATGATAACATCTTACCCTATTCTACGCAAATCTGTCACATCTCAAACAAGACGCCAACTTCAAACGAAAACGCGTTCTACGATGCGTCTACACTCCATCCCCATATCATTGGCGTTGACTGGTCCGAGGTCGATCTCGTTCGCCTGTTTTCGGCGCCTTGACGCCCGCGCAATGCGAGCTTGTACCTCTGCACTCGCCGAGATATGGCCACCTGTGTAGCCACCGAAAATTTGTTGGATTTCAGCTTTTACAAGCGGACATCAACGCAGTAGTATTTTAGCAAACTTACGAACGCATATAGGATACCATCAGGATTGTCATTGGTTTTATTTCAAGTTGAAGAGGAGATGTTTTTACGATGTAAATGACAGTAGAAATAAGTCCTACGTATGTTGTTGTACTTCGTATTGGTTTAATATTCATGTAGAGTATGAGACATTAAGTGAAAGTTTTCTGAGGTACATCTGCAATTGTCGGAAGGCAAAAATAAATAAATAAAATAGACTATATGTTCATGTGTACAACGCACACGGCGTTTCGGCAGTACAGTACATACAAAAGTCCACATCAGGAGTGCTGCCGTAGCAGCGTAGTAGCAGCCAGAGGTACAGCGGTAGTCACATGGTGTATGTATGTACAAGAGGTATCGGCGTGGTGTATGCAGTGTATTACAGCGGAGGTATAGGAGTAGTACTCGTATCATACAGGTGGTAGTCGACCTTCGGCGCCTGTGATATTTACACACAACAGCAGTACCTGGTACATACAATACCGCCGTTTACTTTCTACTCAACCCCTGGCTGGTGAAGGTGCTGCAAACAAAGCATGCAGCAATCACATCCGTTCTCT